GCAGGCATGTGCTGATTAATCCAAGCCTCCAACCTCATCTTAAAAATACACTTTAAAAATTCTGATATATTTTAAAATTTCTTTTTACATACAGATGTTGATTTACATTGAAGGCTGTAATTCGGGTTCTATGGTTACACATCTCTCGAGAGACACAAATGGTAAGAATTGATTATTGATTTTGTGGATAATTATTCATATTGTTCCAATTTGGGGATTCTTTGGTGGGTTAATTAGTTGAATGTTTATTTCTGGAATGACAAATTAAAACTAGGTCATTTAATGATGATATTCAAAATCTGAACATGGATGTTTGGCGCTACGTAATCTTCTTTGCATTAAAACCTTTAAAATTCTTGACACTTATTTATTCCTTTTCCCCGTTAATGCACAGTTCATCTCCTAATATGTACGTTTTACATCTTCAAATGGATTATTGTTTAATCCATTGTTATCTATGGCAAGAAATGTCTTTTAAATCTTAATACCTACAAAATGAAAGTTTTGTTTTTCAATGTTCTTAAAGGGCCATTTTTCTTCCAAAAACATGATAAATTATTCCCTACCTTTGTTAATGAACTGATAATTAGGGTTCACATCTTCAAATGGAATATTGTTTAATCCGTTGTTAACCGGGGCAAGAAATGACTTCTAAATCAGTTTCTCTTCCATTAGTATGGCTGATGCCAACTTCCAGGAGATCAACTCATTGGACCTTCCTAGTCTTAAGTTTTCCATTGACATTAGGTGGAATGATTATATTGAATCTATTGATAGGTCTGCTGCTAGGAAAGTTGGTTCACTGTGACCTGCTAGACAATTTTTCTCACCAGAAAATTTTTCTAGAAATATTTTCATAGCAATTTTTCTAAAGACTTTTTTCTTTTGGTACCTTGACCTCATGTTATTTAAGCATTGTACTCGGTTGGCAGTTAGGTCTCATACTTTTACTGTTGAAATAACTAGGCGTAAACATAATTTCTATTCTAATAGTTTTCTTTTGTATTTTTTCCTGTGGAACTTCCAGCTTCTTGCTTTTTTGACAACTATAATCTTTAAAAATTTAAAGGTAATATCAATTGACAGCTTCTATGTTTCTAAAACCTGTTTTTTATTGTCCTTTCTCCTAACTAAAGTTTTCTCAGATTCTTTCAATCTCACTTGCAATCATGGCTCTCCACAATCTCCTTTCCTTTGTTGCTCTTAGTAAATGTTGCCTTTTTAAAACTCCTTTATACCTTGTTCCATTTACTTAAGCTTGCTAGGTAGGTTATGCTTTGTTTACCTCTGTCCATCTTCCTTTCAATCTATCCTAAGTGTATCAAATTTTCTAAGACCTTTTTCTTCATTATCTGACCAAGAAATTTCAACTATTTCTTTCCGATGTTATGTTTTAGCGTCCTTTTTTATTCGATTTTCTCACAAAACTTCATGTTCAGTCTATGATATTCTCATTATCCTTCTGTAGAACAACATTTTTGTTATTTCAAGTCCTTCTTCATCCATGAGGAGTTTGTACAGTATTCACAGTCATATAGGAGGACTGATATTATATCCCAGTCCAGTAGTCTTTCCTTTGTTTCTAACGAAATTTTCCTGTTTCTTAATAGTTTGCTTAACTTATAGAAGGCATCTTTTACAATCCGATGTGCCTTCGCTTTTCAGTGTCAGTCTTTCCGTCCTTTGTTAAAACACTTCCCATATATTTCAATTCTTGTAATTGTTTGAATTTGTAATTTTTTGGTATCTTCAATTTCCATTTTTTTACGCATTTTCATTTTGTTTTCCTTCATTACCTTCTGCAGGAGTTCTTGTAGTTTCCTTGTGGTTTGCATTTCAGTGTCTGCTCTCAACATCTGCATATCTTGTGTTGTTAAGATTGTGGTCACCAGTAATGAATCCTGATAGGTTTTCTAATTCTCTCAGAATCGCCTCAATATATAGACTGAATAAATCCTTTTCTTTTTGCTTTCATTCATTACCTTCTGCAGAGTTCTTGTAGTTTCCTTGTGGTTTTCATTTCCGTGCAGATGGCCACTTCTTGATTGTGATGCCGTCATACCAAAGGCCTTCCATTTATAAATAATTTGTTGCACGGTGGAGAGGTGCAGTCCAAATCGTTTTGATAGTTTTTTGAAGCTTTCTCCATCATTTGTGAGAAAGTGACTGTAGACAAGATGCCAGATCAAGACCTGGCACATTTCATAACCGTCTCTGGATTTTGCCGATGACCTCGCGATGAACAGTGAAGGAACCTGACCATATATGGCAACAGTATTCAATGTAAAGACGAATAGTTTATTTTTAACTTATTGATACCAGTTTTTTCATTGTCAAGCCGAGCTTTTTTATGCATTTTTGTAAGCAGTGGCTTTTTTTCTAGGCAATCTGTCATGAACACTAGCATCGTTCTGATTTCGTCGCACTGAAGATGTATGGACGTTGATTCCGATATTTGCCATGGAGACTTGGATAAAGGCAAAGGTCACAGCAGGATTCCTCTTGGCATGCAGAACTAGATGTCTATTTGCCCTTGCAGTTATTTTTTTGTGGATGGCCAATTCTTGATAGTGATTCCTTCATACCAAAGGCCTTCCATTTATAAATAATTTGTTGCCAAGTGGGGACATGATCTCCAAATCATTTTGATAGCTTTTTGGAAGATTCATCCCAAAGCTAAACCCAACTTTGGAACCGAGGATAAGACACTTTCATTCAAAACTGCTTTGTATCTTGCAGGGTCTATTGTACCAGAAATACTATTTTGTCTGTTCCAACTTCAGCAAAGTATTCCAAATTATAATGATACCGTAACTATGTTTAAGTTTTGGCACCAAATTCTTCTCTTCAAAAGCCGTATTAGGAGCTCACTAGACATTCCGTCTATCGTTCTTCCCAAAAATCTCTAGTTTGGTTTCATCTGACCATGAAACCTTTTTGCTAGAACGTTTCTAGCTTATTGACATGAGCTTTGGCATTGTCGACCTGAGCTTGTTTGTGGCTTTTCGTAAGTAGTGGCTTTTTTCTAAGCGTTCAACCATGAAGACTAGCATCGTTCAGATTTCATCGCACTGAAGATGTATGGACGTTGATTCCGACATTTTCCAGGGAGACTTGGATTAATGCTGAAGTCACAGCAGGATTCCTCTGGGCTTGCAGAACTGGATATCTATTTACCCTTGCAGTTATATTTCGCGAACAGCTACTTCTAGATTTTGATGCTGTCATAGCAAAGGACTTCCAAATCATTTCGATAGTTTTTGTAGCCTTCTCCATCATTACTGGCTTCAACTAGGCGAATTTCTTAAAACTTCAGGAAGTTCTTTTGATCTTGGCATAATTCTTTTTACATTTAGTCATTAACTTCACCCTTTTGCATAAACATTGAGTCATATTGTTTGACAGCAATATACACAGCTTACCAAACAAATGAGAAACGTGTCATTTTGATTTTTACTCAGATAACAAAAATACAGTGTGTAAATGTAAGGGTTCACTTACTTTCGCACATCTCAATTTTTAATTAATATTTTAACTCCAGCTCACTAAAAGGTTTTGAAAGCATGTATAATTCATTTAATAAAGATTTTTTTTAATGGTTATATAGTTTATTTAACATTTTTTGATTATCTGGAATGAAGAGATATTTTTTTAAATATTATTTAGGGATTCACTTACTTTTGGGCAGTTCTGTAAATATTGCAAAATAAGTGAAAGAAAAGAGAAATAATATTACAAGAGATTACATTATAACTCAGCAACTATTCTTCCTATTTATAGAGGAAAACTTGCTTAGAATTAATATAAGGTATCTTCTGCAATTCCTAATACTAATACAAATATGCTCACCTGATTATTGTGAAAAAGTCTCTGCTAAAAGACGAGGCACAAATCTTCTTAGTTTTTCGATTGTAGTCCTTGTCATGACTGCAGCCAATGAAGAAGAGTCTTCATATTCCAGCTACGTTGATCCTGTGTTGAAGACTTCTTCAGTATGAGTTGGATGGAGATTACAGAGAAGGTGATGTAAGCTCATTGTAAAAAAATCTCTGCTAAACTTATTATCTTTTTTTTTTTTGCTTGTAGTCTTTGCTATGACTGCAGGCAGTGAACAAGAGGATTCAAATGTCTGCTGCTGTGACAAAAGAAAGATAAAATATTACAAGAGATTACATTATAACCGAGCAATAATTCTTTCTACTTACAGAAGAAAACTTTCTTAGATTTAATATAAAGTGTCTGCAGCAATTCCCAATACTAATACAAATGAACTCACCTGATTATTGTGAAAAAACCTCAGCTAAAAGATGAGGTACAAATCTTATTCTTATTTTTTTTTTATTAATTTATTTTTTTATTTTATTTTATTTTTTTTTTTTTGTAGTTTTTGTTGTGACTGCGGCCAATGCAACCGAGAATTCATATGCCTGCTGTTATGACAGCGAGTTCAAGACTTTTCTTGGCGATGTCTTTAGTAACATTTGGATGGAGATTTCAGAGAAGGTGAAGCTTATTTCAGAATTTTGTTTGATATTTTAGGATCATTATATAGTAATCAATGTGCCATTTCCCGTTAAAAGACTGATTGATGAGTCCAAATTGTAATTTCTTTCAGGTGTCCTTGAATAAAACAACCGTCCTGGAGCAATACGATATCGTCAAGGAGAAAGTGAGCACAAGTCACGTGAAAAAGTTTGGAGACATGGTAATTACTTTGTGGACATAATGCAGCAAATGTTATTTATTTATGAAAAGCTATATATTTAAGATCTATCTACCTGTGTTTAGTCAATTTCTACCCGTTCCTCTCTCTCTCCCTCTCTCTCTTTATCTGTTTTAGTCAAAATTCCTCTCTCTTTTATTATTGACACTCTCTTTCTAGCTATCTATAATTTGTCATTGTCTTTATATTGATGTTTGATCAATAAGTCTCTATTTCTGTGTATGTGTTTGATCAATTTACTTATGAAACTGTATACATTGAGGGGATCGATCTATCTATGCTTGGTATCTATCTACCAATATTTGGTCAATACCTATCTATTTCCCCCCCCTCTCTCTCTCTCTCTCTCTCTCTCGAGCTTTCTGTTTCGACAATATCTGTTTTTTCTTTCTCACTTTCTATGATTATTCAAAAGCTATTATTTATCTATATATCTATCTATCTAGGCGTGTTCATTTTTCTTTATCTATCTATTCATATATATATATATATATATATATATATTTTGTATAATTAGGCAGCAATCTCTTTTATGCATGTTTCATTATCTATGTTTGAGCTAATATTTTAATATCTGTTTACCAAAATCTTTCCAGAAAAGAAATCTATATTTAAATTAAATTATAAAATAAATAAATAAATAAAAATAAAAATAAATAAAAATAAAAATAAATAAATAAAAAAAATAAATAAAAAGCTCAACTGTAGTCTCTCTCTCTCTCTTTAATCTCTATATATATATATATATATATATATATATATATATATATATTATATATATATAATATATATATACCTTTTTCATTATCTATGTTTGGATAATACTATGATAATTCAAATGCTTTTATTTATCTATCTATCTATCTATCTATCTATCTAGGCTTTCAATTACTAATAAATATATATATATATATATATATCTATCTATCTATTTCATTTTTCTTTATCTAATTATGTTTATACATTATATATATATCTATTTATATATATATCTATTTATCTATGTTTAGTTATTATATTTCATTCTCTCTCACTCTCTCTTTATATTCTTATATTTTGTCAATATCTATTTGAATCTCTCTCACATTCTATCAAATTTTGGACAATATATATATATTTATTTCTCTCTCTCTCTCTCTCTCTCTCTCTCTCTCTCTCTCTCTCTCTCTCTCACACACACACACACACACACACACTATGTTTGGTCAATATATTTAATTACTTTTCTATCTATGTCATGTCAATATCTGTCTATCTCTCCTTTTATCTACCTATTGATGTTTTGTCAATATCTGACTATCTATTTGTTATAGCGTACCTTTGGACGATAATGAGCATGTCCCAATTCCTGTAAATACAGTGGTGTGTACGGTATGTTGTCTTCCGCTTGGGATTCACTTCCAAGTGTGCTAGTCAAACTCTCTGCATCCGAATCCCCAGAGGAGGTTATGTCGAAGGTCAGAGTTTCGTGTAGGGAAACAGCTACCCGACCCCGCTTATTTTTTTACGTGGGATATGGGGAATTTTTGGCCTAGGCTACGGGCTCGGATACTCCACAATTCACTTGCGAATCACTTCTAGTGCACCATTAGCAGTTGATTAGTTACTACACGCCGCAGGTGAACTTTATATGTTGTTCCTGTTATAAGTATTATCGTTCATTTCTAACCTTCATTTTGGCTATTGTTATTCAGTGACCTTTTCCTAGGTTACAACACTATGGATCGAATGAAAGATTCAACTCAATATTACAAAGAAAACACATATAACATAACAAGTGGAGGAAAGAGAATATATCCCAAAGTATCAAATAAAGGCTTTTCGCTCAACATTCAAAATAAAAAAGATAGAACGTGACAAGAAGAGGAAAGAGAATAGATCCCAATGGATCAAATAAAGGATTTTCTTTCAACATTCATAATGGAATATAGGGAAGGAGACAAGATGAGGAAAGAGAATAGATCCCAATGGATCAAATAAAGGATTTTCGTTTAATATTAAAAAAGAAAAAGAGAGAACGTGACAAGATGAGGAAAGAGACTATATCCCAATGGATCAAATAAAGGCTTTTTGTTCAACATTCAAAATGAAAGATGGAGAATGTGACAACAAGAAGAAAGAGAATATATATCAGTGAATTAAATAAAGGTATTTCATTCATCATTCAAAATTATGGTTCACTCTCAACCATCGTTTGAGTAAGCTTCCGCTAGTTTACAACACTATTTATGCTATTTATTCATTTTCCTGTCGATGTTTTGTTAATATCTAAGTTTTGTCCATATCTATCTATCTATCTATCTATCTATCTATCGATGTATATCTGTTTTGTCAGTATCTGTGTATGTGTATTTGGTCAATATCTACGTATCTATTTATTTATCTATCAATTGCTCTTACCTATCTCATATATTTCATATTTCTTTGTTTTTCAGTCCATTGGAAAAACGAAACTCTCTTACTTCCTGGGTTCACAATCGGATCTACAAAGCCCAGCACACATTTCTGAAATCCCAGATATACTATTTGTTGTAAGTTAAAATCTAACATTTTTCTTTCAATCTCACTCTATCCCTATATATATATATATATATATATATATATATATATATATATATATATATATATATATATATATATATATATATATTTCTATAAAGGTGCAATTAATTTACAAATTCATGAATTATTCATACAAAAACAAATACAAAGGTTAATGATTTAATTGGCGAGAAATCCATCTTCGCAAACAATTCAAATAATATACAAAAACCCAGAACCTGTTTATGAATGAAAAGATCCTTGTTTTATAAATTTCAGTTGCATAAGGTTTATAAGGTTTATTTTTACAATATATGTAAGGTTTATGTATCTTATTTGAATTGTTTGCGACGATGGATTCTCGACATTTTATCCTACAATATGTTTAAGCATTGAATTTGATAATATTTTTTCTTATCGCCATAATTAGTATATCAACTGCGGTGTACATTATATGACTTACTATTTTATTTGTAAGATATATTTAGATTTAATATCGATCTGTATTGGTGTCTAGTACATGTCTTATATTGGTGTACATTTGCTTAGTTAGTATTATTAACATGTTACATTGATTAGTTAGTATTATTAACAAATTATATGGATTCTATTTACTTAATGAATGCATAGACCTTTTAATTGTGAACTACAAAATTTTATGTAGGAAGCTGACTGATCATATAACAAGTTAGCATTATGATAAATTACATCACTACCTCTTTCCCTTTAACTTCTTGTAAAAAGTGAACACAATACTGTTATATAATTTACGAAATAATGAAACCATTTGTATTTGTCCTGAAAAGTAATTAAGTAAACATTTATATGCAGACAATTGCATGTCTTGACCCATATAATTGTTTTTCGGTTAGTTTGAATTTAGCACTGGTCAAATTTGATTAGTTAAATCACCGTAAAACCAACAAGCATCTATTTAATTCTGGAGGTGGGGATTAAAAAACAGGAGGTCTTCTGCTATTGAAATTAAATTTAACGTTCACTCGCCTGTAACTTACTATTGTCTGAGGAGAAACATTTGTAGTGTTGAAACACGAATGTTATTGTGTAAGATTTTAACATGCTTTTGTTTTAATCTCCTGTAATATATATATATATATATATATATATATATATATATATATATATATATATATAGATAGATAGATAGATAGATAGATAGATAGATAGATAGATAGATAGATAGATAGAGTGAAAATATATTTTTAAGGTATGCTATATTTATTGGATAAAGTGCTCAACATCATTGATGCAGTGTATGTAAATATAAAAGTAGACCTTGAAGTCAACACAAGTTTTCAAGAGACGACAGTGTATTTCATTGATGGATTACATACGCACACAAACACATGCACACACGCACGTATATATATATATATATATATATATATATATATATATATATATATATATATATATATATATATATATAAACACCCTTCTCCAGCCTTTGTTTTATTTATTTATGTAAGTACTAAGATCCATTTAAATTTAATATAGCTCTGTATTGAAGACGAGTAAGAATTATCACCATCTTGAATTTATAGCTGCTAACACCTGATTTGTTAATCACAGTAAAAACCCCAACCTTCTTTTTAATTATGTTTTTTTTTTTTTGAAAAAACAAGTGGTATTCTGAAATTAATTTTTAGAAGAAATTTTGAAATTAAATTTAGCCTTCGCTAGGCAGTACTTTACCATCTTTAGAGGAGATACATTTGTACTCTTGAAACACAAATGCTATTGTGTAGCGTTGTTTAACATGTTTTTTTTTTTAATCTCATATATATATATATATATATATATATATATATATATATATATATATATATATAAAATTATAGTTTTAAGGTATGCGATAATTATTGGTTAAAGTGCTCAATATCATTAATACAGTGTGTATAATTGTTAAAGTAGACATTAAAATGAACAAAAGTTTCCAAGCGGTGATAATGTGTTTCATGGATGGATTACATACACACACACACACACACACATACATACATACATACATATATATATATATATATATATATATATATATATATATATATATATATATATATATATATAGGCCTTTTAGATGGCCTTATGTCTCGTGAATAACATATTTTCCAAGCACATCTTTTCTTAATATATGAACTAGAAATGTCTTCTTTTTCTTCCTTATGTCAAGTATAAGTATCTCCATTTCTTCTCAAAACTTGTCGCTCATGTGTTCAATCCATGGCATTCTCAGCATCCTTCTGCAGAACCACATTTCTGCTGTTTCAAGTCTATACATCATATTTAAGGTGACTGTCCAGCATTCATTGCCATATAGGAGAATAGATATTACGTCACAGTTCAGTACTCTTTTCTTTGTTTCTTACGAGGTTATCCTGTTTCTTAATACTCTGCTTAGCTTTTAGAATGCATCTTTGGTCATCCCAATACGTCTTCAGATTTCAGTGTTGCCCTTTCTGTCCTCTGTTAAATCAGTTTTCATAAATTTAAATATTTGTTTATTTTAGCATCCCCAATTTGTAATTTGGATTTGGGGATGCCCCTTTTGCTAACAATCATGCATTCTGTCTTCCTGCAGCTGATGTTTAGTCCTTTCTTCTCGCTTTCCTTCACTAACTTGTAGTTTACTTTCCGTGACAGCGATCAAAACTGTCTCATCTGCATATCTTATTTTGCTAAGATTATAGCCTCTAATAATGATTCCTAGTAGGACTTCTAATTAGATAAGAAACGTTTCGCTGTGTAGGTTGAATAAGTCCGGTGTTACGAATCCATAAAAATATCCTGGTCCTGTACGCGTTAACAAGAATCGCCGATCGGGATGATAGAGTAAAAATTTAAATAAAAACATTGAATAATTATTAATAATAATAATAATAATAATAATAATAATAATAATAATAATAATAAATCAAAAATTTGTGGTGATTTTCATTAACTTTTTATTCTTTGTTACCTTTCAGTTTTCCAAAAATTCGGATGATTGGACACTAGAGATATTCAGAGGGAAATTGGGAAAGGAAAGCACACAACAGGAAAAGGAAGACCTTAGAAGATATTTTTTTGAACATTTTGAGGTGAGTTTTCAGATTTGACAATGCTCTATTGATATTGTTGAAATGTTCTGTTTAGATCTTGGCAGGACACAGATAAATATGACTGTCAGATTTGTGTCAAAGACAAGTCTGTTGGCTGGTTGATTTTTTTTTGGTTGGATGGTTAATACAATGGCATATCATTCCTTTTTGGGTTATTTAATGCGAAAGACCATTCATAAAGGATAAAAATCAGACGGAATTAATAGACACATTGACATAGATTCGGTTTTATATGAGAATCAAAATGTTGACTTCGATCTGGTTTACATTAGACTAAAGAAAGTTAAACTTATTTCGGATTTTATATTGGAGTTAAAACGGTTAACATTGGTTTGCACTGGAATAAACAACGTAGACATATGTAAGTTCTACATCGGTTTTACATGAGAGTCAAAAAATGACTGATATGTTTGATCTTACTCTACACCGTGGCTTCTTAACCTATGGTAAATGGACCCCCTACGGATTAAATTTAATTAATTAATTAAAACTTATGTTGACAAATACCCGCTTGGGCACGTTGACATGTTGTAATGGTTAACAAGCTTGCCGTGCTTAATCTGTTACGACTGAATAAGAGTTCGATCCTACCTAATCGACCAGTACCTTTGGCTTTTTGCCAACTCTAAGCTATCTTATGCAAATCCATAGATATTTGACGTCGTGTATTAATTAGGAAGTTTGTCTTGCTACGACAGAGTATATTTATGTTGCCGCTGGTCATTATGAATGCCAGCCTGTAAGCTTGTCATTACGAAGGTTGTACCAAGAGTAGAAAGTTGTTCAAAAAAGGTAGAAAAGTGTGCCAATCATCAGCTGTGAGCTGCTTGGCTGATATTAAACTGCCAAGGGCAGATAATCATAAAATATCTTATTTCACATCATTCTCATATTTCACGTATATGCGTATATGAGTATTTGTGCATTATATTTGTACATGTGTAAGTATTTGCGTAAATACGTATGTAAGTATGCATTTATATATATATATATATATATATATATATATATATATATATATATATATATATATATATATTATAAATTAATTGATTTAAAATATGGGTTTTTTCGCTAGACAGTTCTAACCATGTTTTCAAAATGGAAGCTAAAAGCCCCGAATTTAATTTTGTGATTAAATTAATGACTTTAGTTCCATTTCATCCTCAAGCGAATGTTCTGTGAATTTACATTGAGCACTATTTTGTAAAAATAAAAATATCTATAAGAACACCGGATTATATATCTTACTGTTCTTTCTTTTTATTTATATACATACATACATACATACATACATACATATATATATATATATATATATATATATACTTAAGTGTGTTGGGGGTATAAACAGACTTGAGGAAGAAAATTACAGACGCTCCCAAGTTACCTTCCGTCAATGGTGGAGAAGGAAATTCGACGGCATCAATACATTGCTACCTTCTGCATACTCAGTTGTAAGGCGCCTTATAGTGAAGTTGAACCCTAACCCTAACACTGCCCATTTAATTCACGTTGTCATACTGTCTTTCATGGATCCAAGCTCCTACGTGCTGATCAATCCTGGCCGGCCGGTTGCCCACCTCATCCACAAAAGCCACTATAAATATTCTATTACATTTCATGCACATTTTGATCCTTACCTTGTTGGATCAAAGCTGGTACGTGCTGATCAATCCTAGCCGTAAGCATCTCGTTCAAAATCAACTGTAAATATTCAGATATATTTAAGCAAATTTTCATACTGGACTTAATGGAGATAAGTTTGTAGGGCTGATCAATCTTAGCCGCCAAACACATCTTTAAAATCCACCACAAATCTTCTGATATATATATATATATATATATATATATATATATATATATATATATAATGTCACTAACAATCTTGATCAGTTTTTATCGATCTGACATTTTTTATATCTTTGTCTTTCAGTTCATTAGGAAGATGAAAATCTCTGATTTCCAAGATTTAAAAGCTAATCTACAAACATCAGCTGCTAACTCTGAGGCTGCAAATGAAATATTTGATGTAAGTTAAAATCTAACATTCTTGCTTCAATCTCAATCTAACCCGTTATATATATATATATATATATATATATATTATAAATTAATTGATTTAAAATATGTTTTTTTCGCTACACAGTTCCAACCATGTTTCAAAAATAGAAGCTTTTTTCGCTACACAGTTCCAAACTGTTCTTTTTATTTATATACATACATATATATATATATATATATATATATATATATATATATATATATCAAGCAGCTCTCGTAGCCGAACATACGCTCATCCACTGACCTTATTTTGGCCACTCCCAAACCAAATATTATCAAACAAACTATGGAAAAGGTTGCAAATTACACTTTAATCAAGTATAGAAAACATGATGATAGCGATCTCTGTGAAAGAAATAGGAATAGGAAAATCATTTGGTTCACACCTCCATTCAACCAATTAGGTACACACCCCCATTCAACCAATTAGGTACACACCTCCATTCAACCAATTACGTACACACGTCCATTCAACCAATTATGTACACACCTCCATTCAACCAATTAGGTACACACCTCCATTTAAGCAATTAGGCACACACCTCCATTCAACCAATTAGCTACACACCTCACTTCAACCTATTGGTTAGTACTAAATTAAATCAGAATTCCTCCATTCACTTAATAAACATTTTCATGACTACTTTTCTCATTATATACACTAGAAATGTCTTTTGTTTCTTCCTTATTGCATTCTCAGCATCCTTCTGTAGAACCACATTTCTGTTGCCTCAATCTCTACTTCATCTTTGAGGATATTGCCCAGCATTCACTGCCATATAGGAGGATAGATATTACGTGACAGTTCAGCTCAGTACTCTTGTCTTTGATTCTAACGAAATTTTTCTCTTTCTTAATAAACCACCTACATACATACATATATATATATATATATATATATATATATAGATAGATAGATAGATAGATAGATGATATAGATAGATGATATAAGTATTTTTAAAAAATTATATATATCATATATACTATATATACACTAGAAATGTCTTGTTTCTTCCTTATGATAAGTATCATTTTTTTGTCTAAATTTTCTCTCAATCCTTGTCATTTCTTACATGTTTTGTCTATGTTTTTCCTTTCCGTGATGCTCACAAAACTGTGTCATCTACATATCTTATTTTGCTAAGATTATAGCCTCTAATAATGATTCCTAGTAGGACTTCTGATTCACTAAAAAAAACGCTTCGCTGTATAGATTGAATAAGTCCGGTGCTACGAAACCATAACAAATATTCTGGTCCTCTTGATGCTAACAAAAATCACCGATAAGGATGATATAGTAATAAATTAAAGAAAAACACTGAAATTTATCATCCGAAAAGAAAAAAAATTATTAGATCGAAATTGTATAAAAAAAACTAAATAAAAGCACCTTGTCTGTCGTTTTCAATGAAATGTGCATGAAAGAAGGATTGCTGCCTAAATACACAAATATATATATATATATATATATATATATATATATATATATATAGAGAGAGAGAGAGAGAGAGAGAGAGAGAGATAATAAAAATATTTTTTCTAAATTATATATATTATATATACTATATATACACTCGAAATGTCTTCTTTCTTCTTTATGTTAAGTATATTTTTGTTTCTATTTGCTCTCAAACCTTTTCATTACTTATATGTTCTGTCTTTTTTCTTTCTGTGATGCTAACAAAACAGTGTCATCTGCGTATCTTATGTTGTTAAGATTATAGCCTCTAATAATGATTCTTGGTAGGATTTCTAATTCTCTAAGAAACGCTTCGCTGTATAGATTGAATATGTCCGGTATTACGAAGCCATAACAAATATTCTGGTCCTATTCATGTTAACAAGAATAGCCGATAAGGGTGATAAAGTAATAATTTAAATAAAAACACTAAAAAAGTAATAATAATAATAATAATAATAAATGAAACTGTGTTTGGTGATTTTCATTCATTTTGTATTCTCTCTGTTTACTTTCAGTTCTCTAATTCCGTCAATACTCGTGAGGTGGCGATAGAGAATTTGATAAATAATTGGGAAAAGGCAAGCACACCACAGGAAAAAGAAGACATCAAAAATAATCTTCATGAATATTTTAAGGTGAGTTTTGACATTCGACAATGACCAATTTGTTGCAGTTTTTTGGATATGTGTACTAGTGAGCCAGTCAAAATGAGCTGACTCATTTTATAGTCCACCAAGAGAAGGGTTAACCAATCAGAAAGCTCAAAATATTAAATGCGACGTGTATAAAGGCAGCCATTTTGTTTTTTCTCCCCAAATATCGTCACTGCCAACCTGATATCGAAGACTTAAAGAATTACTTAACAGCCGCTACTTTCTCTGAATCTTCACTGCCAACCTTTGATATTGAACACATTACCGACTTCACTGGATTCCATATTCAGAGACTACTGCAAACATGGTCAACACAATTGACAATCTTGAAGTGTTCTGTTTGGATCTTGGCAGGGCACAGACAAATATGACTGTCAGAATTGTGTCCATGACAAATTCTTTGGCTGGTTGGTTGGTTGGTTGGTTGGCTGGTTGGTTAATTGTATCGTTAATACAATGACATATCATTCCTTGTTGGGTTATTTAATGCCAAAGACAATTATTAAAGGAGAAAATCAGACGGAATTAATAGACATGTTGCGTAGATTCGGTTTTTGCATGAGAATAAAAATGCTGGCGTCAATCGGGTTTACATTAGAGTCAGAAATATTGACATAAGATTGACTTTGCACTAGAATAATGGAAAGTAGGCCTAGGTAAGTTCGACACCAGTTTTACATGAGAGTCAATAAGATACAGATATGTCTGATTTTACTCTAGAGCAGGGTTTCTTAACCTGTGGTAAATGAACCACAAACGGATCCATCTATGGGTTTTGTGGAATGGATGAAAATTAATATTTATATTCGTTATAGAACTCTTGTCTCAATCAATGGTTTCCCATTGAAAAAAATAAAATTAAACCCATCCTGCAACTGGTTGAAAGAAAACGCTCCCAGCTACTATTTACAATGCCGACCGCTTGGTGTCGCTTGAGTTGCTGTCGAATCCATGTTTACCATTTAAACAACCGCCATCTTTTGCCACTCCATGAGAGCAAGTGATAATTATCAATTTCTAGGGTTTATTACGATTTGATTATCTTTTCATATACTAGTGAGCATTAATTGTTTACAATTTCTTTCAAGATACAGATATGTCTGGTTTTACTCTAGAGTAGGGTTTCTTAACCTGGGGTAAATGGTCACCATAGAGATCAATTTATAGGTTTTGTGGGTCAGAAAAAATTAAAATTTATATTCATTAAGTAAACGTTGTTTCTATCAAAAGTTTCCCATTGCAAAAAATTAAAATAAAAACATCCTGGCACTGGTTGAAAGAAAACGACCCCAATCACTACTTACAGTGACAACCCCTAGGCGTCTCTTGACTTGATGCTGGGTCCAGGTTTATGATTTAAACGTTTTTCATTATTGTCTGCGCGACCGCCATCTTATTCAGATATATTTAATGCATATTTTCATAATGGCCTTGGTGGATCCAAGCTGGTACTTTACCACCAGCCTAATCTTAAAAATCAACTAGAACTATTCTGATACATTTAAAGCACATTTTAATAATGGGCTTGATGGCTCAAAACTTAGCAAACCTAGCCATCCAACTCATTTTCAAAATACACTATAAATATTCAGTTATATTTAATGCACATTTTCATACTGACCTTGATTGATCCCAGCAGGCATGTGATGATCAATATTAGCTGGCAATTTCTTCTTAAATCGATTATAAATATTCACAGATATTTAATGCATATTTTCAGGCTTATTGATCCTTCATATATCAAAGCTTGTACGTGCTGAAGAATCCTAGCCAACAACCTCATTTTAAAAATCCATTATAGTTAAGTTTACCTTATATGGATCAAATAAAGGCTTTTCGCTCAACATTCACAATGAAAGATGGAGAATGTGACAAGAAGAGGAAAGAGAATATATCCCAATGAATCAAATAAAGGCTTTTCGTTCAATATTCACAATGAATAAGAGAGAATGTGAAAAGAGGAAGAATGAGAATATATATCAGTGGATCAAATAAATGTATTTCGTTTATCATTCAAAATTATGGTTCATTCTCAACCATCGTTTGAGTAAGCTTCCCCTAGTTTACAACACTATTTATGCTATTTATTCATTTTCCTGTCGATGTTTTGTTAATATCTAAGTTTTGTCCATATCTATCTATCTATCTATCTATCTATCTATCTATCTATCTATCTATCGATGTATATCTGTTTTGTCAGTATCTGTGTATGCATATTTGGTCAATATCTACGTATCTATTTATTTATCCATCAGTTGTTTTTATCTATCTCAGATTTTTCATATTTCTTTGTCTTTCAGTCCAATGGAAAAAGGAATATCCCTGATTTGCAAAATTCACAATCTGAATTACATACATCAGAATATAATTCTGCTATCCCAAATGCAAAATTGGATGTAAGTTTAAATCTATCATTCTTTCTTCAATCTCATTCTATCCTAATATACATACATATATATATATATATATATATATATATATATATATATATATATATATATATATTTGTGTGTGTGTGTGTTTGTGGAAAGAGACAGTCAGAGAGAGAAAGAGAGAGCGATTTTGCATTGATGATCACACTGAAGTGGAAACTAATCATTAACATGTAATGTTGATTCCTGTCTCTGTACTAAAGTTTTAAATACTATTCAACGTGTATTCGCACTGAAAATTTGGGAGTCTGACCCCCTTATTATTACTTGACCTCAAGTACCTCTCGCTGCTGATATGGTAATATGGATTTACATTTGCTTAGTTAGTATTATTAACATCCTTCATCGATTAGTTAGTACTTATTGACTATGGTCAGTACTATCTCTATCTATAAAAGGCAGGATGTGTGTTTGTGTGTGTAACGAATGCACGGTCGTGATTTTTGACGGATTTGCACCAAAATTTACATGCACATCTTCCAAGTTAGCGGGAAGGCCAAGACTGACTTTGCATTTCCCATCGACAGTGGAAATAATCGATTTTTTCATGCTTCTACGGCAGTTTTCATGTAGTTTGCGGCCATTTTGTACTAGCCAGAGTGAGAGCCTATAGCTGGCTGCCACAAATAGGCAGGAAGATTCTATTGGCCGACATGAGAGCCAACAGCTGACTGACACGAATGTTAACTAGCATGCTAGCATGCAAAAAAATCGATAGCTGCATTCGTTACAAGTGGGAAACATTTAAATCTGCATGGCACTTTACTCCAATTGGCTCATTAGCTTGCTTAAACTCAACGTTGATTCTGATTGCGCAGAACTTGGTTGGGTGTGAAAAATATTTGTTGTTAACATTCTTTTTTTATTCGGTTTTTCCAGTTACGAGTTTTTTAAAGCTGATCATTTTGTGTTCATTTTGTTTAGTTCTTTTTTTTTTGTAACAGATTTAATGTTTAGTATAGAGCTTAGAAAAAAATTACAGTGTGAGATGGGCAAGAAGTAAGGCATGTAGCAACATCAGCACGGCAAAGGGCACTCCTTTAAAGGCAAGGAAAGGCAAAAATATTTTAAGTCAAGTGATAGCGATTGCTCTATGAGTCGTACGATTTTTGAATCAAGCACGGGCAACGCTGGGCCATGCTGCTAGTAAGGTTATAAAGGTACACAATAATTAAATTGAAACCAATTTTTAAAATATTTGATAATAATGCACACTCTCATATAAATACTGTTAAAATATTAACCAATGCAGTTGCAAGAATTTTAACGATTGCTGATGCCATATTTATTGGTTAAAGTGCTCAATATCGGGTCATGAGCTATACAAAATTTTTTCAGGTCGTTTGAATTTAACGCTAGTCGCATTTTGTTTGTTGATTACGGTAAATTAATCGTTCACTCGGCAATGGTTTTCCATCACCTGAGGAGACATATTTGTACTGTTAAAAGACGATTGCTATTGTGTAGCGATTTTTAACATGTATTTTGTTTTAATCTCCTATGATAATTATATATATATATATATATATATATATATATATATATATATATAGTGTGTCATTAATATAAGTAGACATTAAATGAACACAAGTTTCCCAAAGGTGACAGTGTGTTACATATATGGATTACACTCATACACACTCCGCTCTCCAGCCTTTGTTGGCAATAGGTTTAGTAGAAGGTAACTCTAAATTCAGACAAGTTAAAACGGTAGATACATTTCTGATTTCAAAAATCCTACTTGCCGTCGAAACCAGATATGAAAAAAATTGTAGAAGAATTGGTCAAAGAAGAAGGATCAATTCAAGTGTATCCGATTTCCTAAATTTGGGATTTAAACGTCCAGTTATGAAATATCAGTATGTGAATGGTCAACAGAATAAAGACTTAGCCATCTTGTGATGAAAATAAAAGCTGAAACTAAACGAAAATCAGATGCAAAATCAAAAAAGAAAACACCAAATCAAAGTCTACAAGGACAAATGAACAAACAGGAACTCAATGGACATTTTCCATTCAAAGTACATAATTTCGGGATGTAGGCAATCATAGCTCTCCACAATTTTTTGCCATATGTAGCCCTTAATAAATTTTAGCATTTTCTTATTTCTCCTAAACCCTGTCCCGTATGTTATGCGTTGTTTTCCTTTCTCCTCTTTGCCTTCACTCTGTCCTTTGAGTATCACATTTTCTAACCCTTCTTTTCTCATTATATGCATTAGAAATGTATCCTGCTTCTTCCTTATTTTATGTATTCTTTTTTGTCTCCATTTGCTCTCAAACCTTGTCGTTTCTCACATGCTCATTCCGTGGCATTCATAGCATATTTCTCAAGAAACTATATTTCTGTTGCTTCAAGTCTCTACTTCATCTTTGAGGAGATTGCCCAGCATTCACTGATATCTAGAAGAATAGATATTACGTAACAGTTCAGTACTCTTTTCTTTCTTTTTTACGAATTTTTTTTTTCTTAGTACTCTGCTTAGCTTTTAGAAAGCATCATTGTCTATCCCAATGCACCTTCAGATTTCAGTGTTGCCCTTTCTCTGTTAAATCAGTTTACAGATATTTACATATTTGACTTCATGTTTATTTTAGTATCCCCAATTTGTAATTTGGATTTGGGGCTGCCCCTTTTTGCTAACAACTATTCATCCTGTCTTTCTGCAACTGATGTTTAGTCCTTTCTTCTTGCTTCCCTTCATTCACTTCTCTGGAAGGCTTTGTAGTTTTTTTCAGTAACTGTTACAAAACTGTGTCATCTGTGTATCTTTTTTTGTTAAGATTATAGCCTCTAATAATGATTAAATCTCTCAGAATCGCTTCTCTCTTTAAGTTGAGTAAGTCCGTTGTTAAGAAACCATAAAAAAATGGTCCTCTTTATGTTAACAAGAATCGCCGATGAGGAGGATACGGTAAGAATTCAAATAAAAACGCAAAAAAAGTAATAGTTCTTTCTGTTTTATTCATTCTATTTGCTTTCAGTTCTCTAATTCCATCAATTCACACAATGGGGTACTGGAGATATTCATGAAGAAAATGGAAAAGGAAAGCACACAACAGGAAAAAGAAGGCTCCAAAAGTATTTTTCAGATTTGACAATGCTCCATTGATATTGTTGAAGTGTTCTGCTTAGATCTTTCCAGGACACAGATAAATATGAAGATTTGTGTCCAAGACAAGTCTGTTGGCTGGTTGATTTTTTTGGTTGGATGGTTAATACAATGGCATATCATTCCTTTTTGGGTTATTTAATGCGAAAGACCATTCATAAAGGATAAAAATCAGACGGAATTAATAGACACATTGACATAGATTCGGTTTTATATGAGAATCAAAATGTTGACTTCGATCTGGTTTACATTAGACTAAAGAAAGTTAAACTTATTTCGGATTTTATATTGGAGTTAAAACGGTTAACATTGGTTTGCACTGGAATAAACAACGTAGACATATGTAAGTTCTACATCGGTTTTACATGAGAGTCAAAAAATCACTGATATGTTTGATCTTACTCTACACCATGGCTTCTTAACCTATGGTAAATGAACCCCATACAGATTAAAATTAATTAAAACTTATGTTGACAAATACCCGCTTGGGCACTTTGACATGGTGTAATGGTTAACAAGCTTGTCTTGCTTAATCTGTTACGACTGAATAAGAGTTCGATCCTATGTAAGCGACCAGTACCTTCGGCTTTGTGCCAATTCTAAGCTATCCTATGCAAATCCATGGATATTTGACGTCGAGTATTAATTAGGAAGTTTGTCTTGCTAAATCTGTTATTTCTGAATATTTTAAGGTGAGTTTTGAGATTTGACAATGCTCCATTGACATTGTTGAAGTGTTCTGTTTAAATCTTGCCAAGGACAGAGAAAAATATGAATGTCAGATTTATGTCCTAGACGAAGTTCGTTGGTCGGTTGGTTGGTTGGTTAATTCAATGGCATATCAGTCCATGGTGCGCTATTTAATGCCAAATACAATATTTACAGTATAAAACTCAGACGGAATTAATAGACACGTTGAACTATGTTCGGTTTTATTTGAGAATCAAGATGTTGACCCCGATCTGGTTTTGAATTAGACTTGAAAAGGAGATATAATGTTAAACTTATTTTGGATTTTATATTGGAATAAAAAAGGTTGACATATGTTTGGTTTTCCACTGAAATAAAAAAAAGGTAGGCATAGGTAAGGACGACATCAGTTTTACGTGAGAGTCAAAAAGGTACAGATATATTTGGTTTTACTCTAGAGCAGGATTTCTTAACCTGTAGTAAATGAATCCCATCATTGGGTTTTGTGGATTAGATAAAAATTAACATTTATATTCATTATATAAATCTTGTCTCAATCAACTGTTTCCCATTGAAAGAAATAAAAGTAAACATATCTTGTCCCTGGTTGAAAGAAAACGCCCGTAGCCACTACTTACAGTGCCGACCGTTAGGCGTCACTTGAATTGCTGTTGGGTCCAGGCTTATCATTTAAAGATGTTGCATCATTGTCTGTACGACCGCCATCTTTTGCCACTCTATAAGAACAAGTGATAATTCTTAATTTCCACAGTTTATTACAATTTGATTATCTCCTCATATACTGGTGAGGATTATTTGATCACGATTTCTTTCAAGTATAGATGGCTGAAAAGTGACGTTTGTGCAATGCGCATGGGATTGGAGTATAGAGAAATGTACATACAAGTGTTGTGAAAAAACAATCAGACTGTTAGTACCTACTTGTCTACCTATGTGACTATAAAGGTCTAGATATACTGATGTGGGTTACTTAATCACAATTTCTTTCAAGCATAGATGGCTGAAGAGAGAAATGTACATACAAGTGTTGTGAAAAAACAATCAGACTGTGAGTACCTACTTGTCTGTAT